GTGCTGGGTGCATGGTCACCCCGGGTACACGCCTCGCCCAGATGTGCTCTCGCCCAGATGTGCGCGCTCGCCAGGGCATGCACATCCCCGGCTATTCCATCACCCAGATGTGCACCCTCAGCAAGGGATGAACCCCCTGCTGTGTGCCCAGATGTGCACGCTTGCCCAGCTGTGGTCTCCCCTAGATGTGTGCATTCATCCAGATGTGTGCTCACCTGGTGCAGATGCACACATCCAGATGGGTGCTCACCTCGCCCAGCTGTGACGCCTCACAGAGATTTTTTGTTGATTCCAGCTATGCCCACCCACCCCTATGCCCACCCAGATGTGTGCACTCCCCTGCCGCACCCTTGTCCAGCTGTGCACTCATCCAGCTGTGCCCTCACCTGACCCAGGACCTGGGACCTCTGGCAGGATGCGGGGTGCAGGGTGCCTTCCTTCCCGGGGTGCACCTGCTGGGCTGTGATTCCCCTCAGGCAGCGCCATCCTCGCAGCGTTCCTCAGCCTGTTCTTAATTACCTTCCCATTCGTTGTGACTGAAGGAAGCAATAATTAACGCTGTTGCTCACTGGGTGCTACAGCAGCACCCGTGTCACAGGGAAGGGCCTCCTGGCAGCACAGTGCCCGTGGTACAGCTGGCGGTACAGCTGGCGGGTCTTTCCTCTGCTGCGTGGGCACCTCTCCACCCGATCGCTTTGGTGTTTGGGCAGGAAAACGGCTCCGCTCCTTTATTTTGCTTTTGAGGTGGGCTCTGGCCGATGGGCACCGCTGCCTTGGTGCTGCCAAGGCTCCGGAGCTGGCAGTGCCCAGCTGTGCCTGCCCCGGAGCAGCTCTGCACGGTGCCCTGCCTGCATCGGTCCTGCTGGCCGGAGCTGGTCCTGCTGGCCAGAGCCAGCCCTGCCCCACCTCACCCTCTTCCTCCTCCTGCTCTGCAGTTCAATGCCGAATTTCGCCGCTTCGCCATGAAGCACTCCAGCGCCGGCAGCTTCCAGGACTTCTACCGCCTGCTGCAGACGGTGCACCAGATCCCACAGGTGGACGTGCTCCTGGGCTACACGGACATTCACGGCGACCTCCTGCCCATCAACAATGACGACAACTACCACAAAGCCCTGTCCTCTGCCAACCCCCTCCTCAGGGTCATCGTCCAGAAGAAGGGTAAGCGGGATCTGGAGAAGGGCACTGGATCCATCCTCCCCATCAAGAGAGACGAGCTGCATCCCGCGATATCGCCGGTTCCACATTAGGGCTGTGCCAGTGACGGGGGCAGCCGGTCATGTATCCTTCAGCCACCGCTTTGGTGGACGGATGCGGAAATGGCAGCACTGGGAGGCTCCCAGATCCCTGCCAGGGCCGTGGCACCCACATGGGTTCTCCCTGGCAGCCCTTCCCTGCGGCGAGGGGCACCCACCCCAGCCCGGCCCCATGCACCTCGGCGAGTGAAGGCAAATCCTCACGATTCACCCTTTTGAAGTCGCGTTTTCCAGCCAGACTTGCATGGGCTCCCGGAAAACAGCGTGTTGCTTCTGCGAGCGCTGTGCTGGGAGCCCCGTCCAGCTCCCTGCCCTGAGGCAGCGACAGCCATCGTTTTGGCAGAGCTCTGGGGGTGCCAGGTGCCGCTGAGATTTTGGTGGTGGGAGGAAGCTCATCTCCTCCCCAGCAGCCCAGGGCTCGCCCTGACTGCAGCAGCGTGTTCCTGGAGAGCAGCTTCCTTGCGCAGGAGCATGAAATCACCGTGATAGCTGTGTCCCACTGGGGACGAAAGCTTCCTGGTGACAAAGACCCTGGGTACGGCTCCTCTTTGCTGGAGAGATGGAGAGGAGCCCATTCACTTCCACTCGCTTTAGTAGCAATGAGGCTTTCTAACCATCAAGCACCAGTGTGCAAGGCCAGAGCCTGATCTAAAAGCCCCAATTTTCCCAGCACGGTGCCCAGAGCGACTCTGTGTTCCCGAGTTGTCAGTACGAAGTCCCTGGGCGAGGGGTGATGCCGGTGGCCGGCCCTGGCTGCCATGCCAGTTTTTCTGGGCTCTTGCATCAGGGTGATGCGGGATGCCCTGGACATGCATTTCCTCTGGGGCCACGGGGTGTTGGGGACAGCAGCAGCTGTCCAGGCTGCCAGCAGGAGGGAGCTGGAGCCCGCTGTGTGCTCAGGGGCTGTTGCTGCCAGCACCAAACCACCCCCAGTTCCCAGGTTGCGGCACAGGGAGCCGGCGTGGGGCTGGGTGTGCCGGGGCTGCCACGGGAGCATCACTCCTGCTCCCAGAGCCACCTCGTTTGCTGCTGGGAAAGGCCTGCAAGGGCCCACGGGGGACGGTGCTGAGCTGGCATGGTGTGGAGAGCAGGCAGCCACAGCCCTGGCAGTGTGGGCAGTGCAATAAGGAGGGCGAGGCAGCAGCACCGGTGAGCCCCAGCACCCGGCCATGCCTGCGAGAGAGGGGCCGCAAGGCCGGCAGCGCTGCGGGAGGCATGCAGAGAGGCCAGGAGTGAGGCCTGAGTGAGTCACAGCTGATTTAAAATGGATCCAGGTCATCCTGGGGCTGGGCTGTTGTCGAACCAGTCTGGGTCGGCGAGGCATGCGGCTGCAGAGCCTCTCTCACGCACCGGGCACGGGGAACTGTGCACATGTGTGCATACGTACGTGTGCACCCATCAGCGGGCTCCATGGCAGCCAGTCCTGCTGCAGGGGATCAAAAAGCAAAGGCTGCAGCTTGAATCCTCTCCATGCCGTCACCCCATCTAGTGAAGCCATCCCTGTGGGGCAGCCTGGCTGAGGACGGCGGCACTGGTCCTCCTTGGCTGGGCTTGGCTCACGGGAAGGACAGGGGAAAACCCAGCACATCGCCAGGGCTGCCAGCAGGCTCGTCCTTGGGCTGCTGGACCTGCCTGGCCCAGCCGCTCCATCCCCCTCGGAGAGGAGCCGTGCACTGAAATAGCTGTGGGAAAGCCTCCGCCGCCCTTCCCCGCGCTAAAAATACACCAGGCTGTGTGTGCAGGGAGATATTTATAACCCAGGAGCCCTGGCTAGGGAGAAACCCCACGTCCCCTGGGCTTGGGGGCATCCCTAGCACCCCGGCGGCTGGAGCGGGGTCCAGGTGCTGGTGGGAGGCACCGTGGGGAACTTGCTGGCAATGCAGCATCCAGATCTGGGCCCCCTCCCTGTGGAAAGAAATGGGGAGAAAGCAGAGAGGTCCCAGGGGATGCTCCCCAGCACCTGGTGAATGCGGCCAAGGAGGGGATGTGGTGGGGCTGAGCCCCACAGAGCAGCCCCGGGGCAGGGTCAAGGAGGACAGAGTCAAACCCTGTGCAGTGGTGCCAGATGGTGCAATAAGAGACAGTGGCAGCAATCACAGTTTGGGATGGTCGGGGCGCTGGGGACGCCGCAGCCCTGGAGTGGTTCTCCAGGAGGTGGGGAGGGAGTCTCGGTCCTTGGGGACGGCAGGGTTCCGCAGGACACAGCTGTGGCCAGTCCCATCCCGTGCCAGCGATGGCCCCGCTCCAGTGGGGACAAAGGACTCTGGTGCTGTCTCACGGGGCTGGACTCACCCTTGGGGAGCTGGCTGCCACCTCAGCACCCCATCGTGCAGGGGGGGTTCCCTCTCCCCAAACCCAAACTGGGGCACAGCGGTGGCTCCTGGGCCATCAGGGCTGGCAGCTCTAGTGTTAAGCTGCAGAATTTGGCTTAAAGTGTGATTAAGGCTGAATCACCGCCTCGATCCCACTAATCCTGGCCTTGTGTACGCTGGGTAATCCCAGGAGATGCGCCTGGTGGAGACGGGCTGCAGGAAAACCCGGTGAGGCCCATGAGCAGGGCACTTGTCCCACCATCTCCCCCAACACCCGGAGCCAAGGGCACGCGATTGCATCCTCAGGCAGCTGTGGTACCTGACCTGGGTCCTCCCTTGCTCCCTACAGCAGAGTCTGATGCCGGCGTCTTCGCCTCGAACTCCTTGCAGCGGAAGAAGAAGGGGCTGCTGCGCCCCACGCACTACCGGACCAAGCCTCACCTCCTCATCGGCATGCCCCAGGACTTCCGCCAGATATCCTCCATCATTGACGTGGACATCCTGCCCGAGACCCACCGCCGCGTGCGGCTCCACAAGCACGGCTCCGACAAGCCACTGGGCTTCTACATCCGCGACGGCGTCAGCATGCGCGTGGCCCCGCAGGGCGTCGAGAAGGTGCCCGGCATCTTCATCTCCCGCCTGGTGAAGGGCGGCTTGGCTGAGAGCACGGGGCTGCTGGCGGTGAGTGACGAGATCCTGGAGGTTAATGGCATCGACGTGGCTGGGAAGTCCCTGGACCAGGGGACGGACATGATGGTGGCCAACAGCCACAACCTCATCATCACTGTCAAGCCAGCCAACCAGCGCAACAACGTCATCCGCAGCAGCAAGGCTTCGGGCAGCTCGGGCATGTCCACGGACAGCACCCCCAGCCAGCAGACCCCCAGCCCGGCCTCGCAGTACCTGAGCAACTACAGCACGGCCGAGAGCGATGAGGAGGGTGACCTGGTCATTGAGAGTGACAGCGCGCCCCA